TATGTACGCTTAGGCTGGGCTGTTGAGCTTTTAGTTATCTATCTTTGCTAATATGTTTATCATCTTGTGTGTTAAAGCTATTTTGTGTTTCTTTGTGTTGTCTTTAGGAACAACAAAAAGGAAGGAATTGCATGGGACAACCTGTGTCCATGCACTCTCTGGAACATGGGGATTAAAACCCGATGGCACTGTTTTTCAAGCTTATAGAATACATTTTACTTGTAATATATACCTGGTGTGCATTACTCTAGTTTTGTTCTTTTGATTGACTCAAAGCTAGATGATAATGTGGGAAGTTGTTTAATGGGATATTTGGGAAATTGTTTGTTCGATTGAAATCATCAAGAGGAGGAAGAAAATTTCTACTGCAAGGGGAATCGTTATGGAAACCATCAAACATGTAATGTTTATTTAGTCAATATATTGAAGTAGCTGTAAAATTTTATTCATATTATTGTTATTTTTCAGCTTTATTACAGGTATGTTTTTTAGTTAAATATAACAGATTCAGGAAATTTTTTTTTTAAAAAAAGAGCTATAACGGCGTTTTTTCAAAACGCCACTACAGTGCCAACGGACATTTTTTTTAAAATAAAAAAATCTATCACGGCGTTTTAAAAACGTCGCTAAATATTGGATGACGTCATTTTATCATTATTTATCGCATTTAGCGGCGTTTTTAAAAACGCCGCCTATACTAATTTTACGACGTTTTTAAAGCGTCATAAACTTATAGCGACGGCCGCGTCCTCGACGTTTGGTGATAAGCGTCACTAAAGGAATTAGCGGCGTTTTTCATACATATAGCGGCGTTTTAAAAACGCCGCTAAAGGTCATTTTTCCAGCAGTGCTAGATTCAACTCTTATATGATAAAGTTCATAATTATAATAAATTTGACCTAGACATTACTTTTTTAAAAAAAATTTTCCGTGTCTAAATTTTTAATCCTTAACATTACTACTTTTATAAGTTTTTAAACTTTGTGATAGATAAATAATATGACCAAAATAAGAGATGATATAACTCCAATAAAATAAAAATAAAAATAAAAATTGTGGAGACATATTTTTTGAATGACGACACGTGGCTGGGGTGTCACCGGAGTGCCAGCCGAGGTGCCACGTGTCATGGTCATGATGCCGAGATGATCTCGGCTAAGCCGAGGTTATCTGCGATGATGTCAGAATCCGAGATAAAGCGGATAAGGCACAAGAGTCCTAGAATGGAAGAAGACTTCAGTTTGGGTAAAGATGAGACTCTTAGAGAGTTTATCCTAATTCTACTGACAGTCCAAGATTAGCAGTAATCTAAAGTCCATTGGAGCTAGGCTCCTATTGGAACTAGGATTATGTTGGCTATAAAAGAGAGGCACCCCCATGGGTCTAAGGTATGCTTTTTATGCTCAAGTTAGAAAGTTTAGCACTATTGATTATCTTTGAGAGATATTGAGTACTGACTTGATCGTCGGAGTATCCCTGGGTGGCGAACTACCACCGGAGTCTTCTCTTTCTGTTACAGGTTAGTCAGGTGCCATCAATTCTGCCGGTGCTCTCCAGCTGGATACTAAGATTGCAGTGTGGTCAGAAAATCACTCACCCAAAAATATGTTAGGGTAGTGTAACCCAAAAGCTTCTAAATCTATTATTAGGGGTCCCTTTCAATTTGTGATCATTTTAAAATTCCTAGAGATGCAATCGTTTCAAAATTGAACTTCTGGATTTCTTCTCTTTAGAAACACTTGAAAAGAGAAGTTCAATACATAAATGTAATTTTTAAGTACTTTTTAAAATACGATAACATTATAAATTCATAATTTATCCAAAAAAAAAAAAGAAGAAGAATTAAACAGTTAAATTTATTTTACTCGTGAACCTTACAAATACATTTGGGATAAATTATGAATCGATAAGAGTGGGTCATAGCATTTTTGTTTAAAATATTTTCTTGACCATGTGGTAATTTTATTGTTGAAATTCTTGCTCAATTACTTGGGTTTACCTAGGCTATAAGTACTGAAGGCAGAGCAAAGACAAAACTTTTATTATTGGAAGGAAAGAAAGAATTTAATTGGGTCACAAATGAATAGGTCCTCGAATTGTATGACTTCAAATGTTTTTGGTTGTTGAAGGAGAGCTCGTCATTTTCACATTCTCAGGTTGTTTAGAATAATCTATATAAATGTACTTTTTAATTAAAAAAAATAAAAATATAAAAAGTGTATTATTTTAGTTCACCACAAACAAGCTTTATGATTATAAAATCACATTATAAATCCTACACAACTCTGGCTATGTAAATAAATTTTGTTACACACACGGAATCATGCAATCATTCTAGTATTCTAGCTTTACCAAATTTGTCATCAGTCAACTACATATAAGTTGACATTTTAATATTACGCATGTACTCATCTTAGCACATGCCAAAATGTATGTTTCTTTATTTGTCATCAGTCAACTACATATAAGTTGAATTTTAATGTTAAGTATGTACTTATCTTAGCACATGCCAAATTGTAATTTTTTTTTTACGAGGAATATAAAATAAAAATATCAATTTTAAGGTAATGACAAAATCATGATTGTTAGATGAAAATAATTTAATTAGTTATGTAAGTTGACATTTTAATGTTAAGTATACACTCATTTTAGCACATGCCGAAATGTATGTTTTTATTTGTCATCAGTCAACTACATGTAGGTTAACATTTTAATGTTAAGTATGTACTCATCTTAGCGCATGCCAAAATGGTTTTTTTTTTTTTTCTTTTTCTGCGAGGAATATAAAATAAAAATATCAATTTTAAGGTAATGACCAAATCATGATTGTTAGATGAAAATAATTTTCTTATTTAGGTCTCTTTTGAAAAAGAAAAAAAGAAGTTAATTTATTGGCTTATTCACTTATTTGAGTCACATCACCTCTCAACTTTTTAAACGTTTTTTCGTAATAAGTTAAAAAGTCAATTTATAAGTTATTTCTTAAAATAATCCTTAAAGCAAATTAAAAGAAAAACCTACATGAAACTATTAGCGGGGATCTTTCACCGTTCTCACCTTTAGTTTTCGATTAATTACATTGTTATCTTTTTAATTTTAGAAAAAAAATTTACTTACACTACAAGAAAAGTGAGTTTAAAATACGGAACTTTTTGCTACAACACGGCTTGCCGTTGCGAAAAATGTGACTTTTTGCGACAGCACAACTTGCCGTCGCAAAAAATATTGTATTTGTGACGATAGAAATTGCTGTCGCAAAAAAAAAATAGAGTATTTTTGCGACGACACCAGCTGCAGTCGCAAAAAAAAAGGAGAGTTTTTTACGATGCTGTCTTACTCTTTTTATATAACATTTCTCTTTTCACCAATTTTTTCATCTTCTTGTCTCTCTGTCTCTATTTCTGTCTCTCTTCTCTTTCTCTCTCTCACTCATCACTCTTCTCTGTCTATCTGTCTGTTTGTCTCTCTTTTTCTCTCTGTGTCTCTGTCGCTGTCTCTCTTCTCTTTCTCTCTCTCACTCATCACTCATCACTCATCTCTGTCTATCTGTCTCTCTTTCTCTCTGTGTCTCTCGCCTATCTCTCTTCTCTCTATCTCTTTTCTCTCTCTGTCTCTCTTCTCTTTATCTATCTCACTCTTTCGCTCATCTCTCTTTATCTCTCTCTCGTTTATCTCTTTTCGCTCTTTTTTTTTTCTCTCTCTCTCTCTGTCTATCTCTCACTTATCTTTTGTTTGTCTTTTTTTTTGTCTCTCTCTCTATCTCTCTCGTTCATCTATCTTCTCTCTCTGTCTCTGTTTTTTCTATGTCTCTCACTCGTTAATCTCTTTTCGCTTTCTTTCTATCTCTTTTTATTTATCTCTTGCTCATCTTTTGTTTCTCTCTCTATCTCTTTCTCTCTTTGTCTCTCTCTATCTCTTTCTCTCTCTGTCTCTCTCTCTCTGTCACTTGTCACTCTTCTCTCTCTCTGTCTGCCTGTCTGTTTGTCTGTCTGTCTATCTCTCTCCCCCACTGTGTTCGCCTTGCTCACTCTCCCCCTCATCTCTTCTTTATTTATTGAGCTTCCTTTCGATTTATCGATCCACTACAAGAAAATGTACTTTTAGTGACCACTTTGTCTTTTTCTCGCTCATCACTCTGTCTCTTTCTCTATCTCTCTATCTCTCTTCTCTATCTGTCTCTCACTCATCTCTCTCTCTCACCACCCATCTCCTCTACCATATTTACCACTACTGCAAATGCCATTCCACTACCACCACTACTACTGTTGTTGCCACTCAACCTCTACGACTACCATTACTACCACCATCGCCACCACTCCACTACCACCACTACGACTACCATTACCTTTCTTCCACCACCGCTACTCTATCTTCTCTACCACTACCACAACTTCACACTAATCTCCTTTGCCACCACCACCACTATCACCTCTTATCCACTACCTTCACCACTACTGCTGCTTCTTATCCTGTACCACGAAAAAATTAGTTCCTGATTTTTAGTAACAAAAAAAATGGGTCACAGAAAAATATTTTTCATTGACTACAAAAAAATAACTTTATTTTTATAGAAAATATTTTTCATTAAAATATTATCCTTACTTCTACCAAATAGAAAAAAATAATAATAATTTTTTATTCATTAAAATAAAAATGAAACAAATAAATTCTCAACCTTAATAATGAAAAGAAAATGAAAAATCGAAAAAAAAAAAATCATTAACTATTAAAAAAAATTATTTTAACAAAAAATAAATTTGTTTGGCAACAGCAACTTCTGTCACAAAAAATAATAATAATAATAATAATAATAATTTTATTATTTAAATATTTATTTGTGATGAAAACTAAATTATTTTATTATTTTTTTTTTCCATCTGCTTCGGTTCCCTCTCTTTTTTTCCATTCCACCCCCTCCCACCCAAAACCCAAAATCCCCAATCTCTTATAACCAAAATCCCTAATTTCTACCATATATTATATATATATATATAATATATATATATATATCTCCTCTCTCTCTCTCGCGACTGTGAGCATGGCAGACGACGGCGTCGAGCCACGGGGACCAGTGAATGAAGGAAGCCAGACATCGACGACCATTGTCGGAGTCCTTCGCTTCTCTATCGATAGCCATTACCAGCAAACGAAGTTCTTCGGAGTCCTTAGCTTCTCTCTTCGGCCGTGACTAGCAAACTAAGCAAATAGAGCTCTCACCTTTGATCGGAGCTCTTGCACCTTTCCTTTCCACCACCCAATTTCAGGTACATGTCCAGATATTAGGGTTTTGAGTTTTGATTTAGTGCTTTTCAATTTCAATATTAGAGTTTATGGTTTTTCAATTTCAAAAATTGAGGATTTTCAAATTCTGGGTGTTGAAGAAGTTTTTTGACTATATACAACTTCCAAATTTTGATGTTGCTGCCGATGCTACAGAAACCTTTATGGTAGTGTTTTCTGCTAGTCATTGCTCTCCATCTGGGCTTTGTTGTTGCTTCTGAGCTTGAGGTTGTGTTAATGATCAACTAATTATATTGATATAGGTGGTTTTATATGTATGTACTGTATACACATATATAATTTAGTAATATTGATATTTATTTCATTCTAAATCCTGTATGTATTTTTATGTGTTTATAGTTTATAGATGCATATATAAAATTATATAATATGCTAAATAAAGTGAATCTTATGATTCATGATTCACTATTCTCTCATATGCATATTTGTGAATGGAGGTTACCTTATACATGTTTCTTTTCTTTATATTTTAATGTTTTGATGAATTGGTTTGTAGAGGATCCAATGAAGAGACCTAAGGCCCCATTTGTTTGGGGTTATAGGGAGGGGATTGGGATTACTAATTCCTTGGTATTACTAATGGAGTGTTTGTTTTGAGAGATGAGAAGGAGACTATTAGTCCCTTGGTATTAATAGTCCCCTTGGAAGGGGATTGGTAAGGAGGAGGTAGAGATGGTATTAGAAAAATAGCGAAGGGATTAGAATTTTATTTATTTTTTATATATTGGGAATTTTTTTATAAATATAATGTTTAATTTTTTATATTTTTTTATTTGTTTTATTATTTTATATAAAAATAATTTAACAATTCCTCACTATTAATCCCCTCACTAACAATCCCCTCACTATGAATCCCCTCCATTCTATCTTTGAAAACAAACGGGGCCTAAGAGTATTGTTGATGTTGGATGTGGAATTGGAGGCAGTTCTAGATATCTAGCTAGGAAATGGGAAGCCCAATGTGGAATTGGTTTGCAGAGGATCCAATGAAGAGACCTAAAATAATATTTATAAATTTCCTAAATTGAGAGGAATGAAATAAGATAGTTAATCAGGTTAAGTATATAAAAGTGAGGATTTGAAGGTGTTAGTCAAGGATGAGGACGTTAAGGAAAGGTGAAAAAATTATTTTTAGAGAAGTTCAACCACTTGTAGGCTTGTCTGATCCAATGGGAGATGCAAAAGATTTGAGGTTTGTTGAGGGATGTCAAATGGTTCCAAGGCAACCAAGTAAAAAACTATCCCTTGATGTGGAAGATTTGGACATTCCATGGAGTGACCTCGTTCTGAAAGAGAGAATTGGATCAGGTATTGTTTTCCTCCAGGTTGGAAAAACATTAGAATGCTAACAATATAGCTGTTTTGTAGCTTAAGGAGGTCATGTACCTTTCTCAATATTGCAAAGTAGCTTTTTCTTTTTATCTTGTAGGGAGTTATACTGAAACCAAGTGACTTGATGCATTTCCAAGTTCTTTTGGTATTGTCCATCGTGCTAATTGGCATGGCTCGGTAAGTAATTCGTCTATGTATTTGATTACTAGCTGAAACTTGTTATGCTCTAATATTAATGAATGGGAGTATGTTACCGTGGTACAAGTTAATGTGATTATTGTGGTAGTATAGCAATCTGTATTTTCCAGTGCTAATGTGCAGTATCTATTTGAGCTTTTGGGTTTAGGTATCATGAGAACCTGTACATTATTGTTGATGACGTCGTCGAAAAAATAAGGTGGTAATGATGAAGGGGAGCTGATTATATGTGCATGGTCATGTTATTCCCTTAGATTGAATTTCCATGTGGTTTTGTAGGAGAGTCTTAATTGTTCTTGTAATTTCTGTTAAGCCTTGTGTGAGATGAGTCAATTCGAGGATTTGATGAGTCTATTGTTCAATTGGTTAGTGTTCTATTTCATGATACTCAAGAATAGAATTAATTGTGGAAACTGATGGAAATTTAAGGAGTATTGTAAATGCGTTGAGATCCATGGAGACATGGTTGAAACTTGCATAGTATTCTCAGATTATGATTAAGCAACTCAACTGTGCTCTTAGCCTATTGTGTTTTCTAAATTGACCCTTTGGTTGTTGGAAAATTGTAGTGGTAGTGAGTGATATACTTTCTTGCTTCTATTCCAAGCATGGAGTCTTTTAGAAGTCATAAAGTTTGACAAATATGAATAGTCTTTTTGTGGTCACAACTTTGTATGCTGTGAAGGAAAGAATGACATAATCTGCAAATGACATTAAGTTGTGGCTTATGATTATAGAATTTTAGAGTAGTTGATGTGAAAATTTCCCTCTTGCATATAGTTTCTAATTTTTTTGGGGGATGAGAATCGTTAGAGATTATGTTAAAGCAGAAGACTAATTGAAGAGAGAAAAGGAAGAGATCCTATGGAATAACTCATGAAGTCTAGTCTCAATGAATTGTGAAGCGACTGAAAACTAACTTCACAAAATCAGGGTAGTGAGATTCAGATGTCCTCCAGTTTTGATTCTCTTCTTTTGTTAAGGACTCTCCCTCTTGGCCAATCTTGGTAACTGTTTGATGGAGCACTCAAATGTGGTTGCTAGATCAGTAGCTTATAGAGGATATTTTGCATTCTCCACGGGCCCCCTTTTTTTTTTTTTTTGGATCCACATGATGACATTTGAACTTTGTTCTTTCATTATAAATATTTAGTAACAAATCATTGGCTTCTAAGATGTGTTAAAGATCCCAATTCTTTTCTCTTTAGTTTCCGAAAACAAAAAAAAATTGGAAAGATAACTGATATTGTTCCTTTATGATGTATTTCAAATTCCATTCATTCGTCATTTGCCCAGAATGTATGAGGGTGAATCTCATTAGTTTTCCAAAACCAAAATCTTTGGAAAAGATAACTAATATTGTTCACTTGTGATTTATTTCAAATTCTACTCATTCACAATTTCCCAAAAATGTATGAGGGCATAACCGGCATATTTGCACTTCCTTAGGTTTGTTCCAAGAGGAAAGCATAATTCAAAAATGAGATTTGATTGTTGAGGTCATTTTGTTTGCTATGTTGTGACTTTTGTGATTCAGGTGATTTGTTTGTTTATTTTCAGGTGATTCATTTTTCTCAATCCTTTTTCAAATTTGATACAGGGTCAATTTCAGATGATTACTTGGAATATATGTTGTTACAGTTCCCTACCAATGTTATTGGATGGATCTGTCGTACTTTGTATATTAACCTCTGTTTGATGAATAAAGGGTTGTAGTTATAACAATTGAAAGAACTATGTTTTTAAGAAGTCCGTTTTGAGTAGTGTATAAAAATTTGGTTCTTCCAAAAGAGCATATGTAGCTTGCTTAACCACAAATTAACATAGTTATGGAACTCCATGAATAAAATACCTGTTGTATATAGGTCTAGAGGTTTACATTTTGTTGTGTAGCATATAGTTCAATCTAGGATATATCTACACCTTTATGTGTACAAACATAATATATACATATATGTCAATTAATTGAAGGATGATGAACTTTTGTATAGATACTAGAAGGCTGACATTTCTTTGAAGGTGTCATAACTTATTTCCATTGCTTAATTTTCTCAGAAATGCATATGTTCTCATTGTTGATTGAAATGTTTAATTATTCATGTGAGAGTTGATGACTAACAAAAAAAATGTTGTATTTGATGTTGTTGGGAGCTAGAGCCAGATTTCAGATATAATTTTTATATTTTTTTTTGTATTTGATGCTATAGTAGTTAAATTTTTATTTTTATATTTGATTGAGATGCTTAATTATCCATGTGGGATTTGATGACTAACAAAAAAAATGTTGTATTTGATGCTATAGTAGTTAAATTTTTATGTTTTTTTGTAATTAACATTAACACATAATTATATTGTCATTAATTATTTTTATTTTTATTTTTCAGATATTTCCTATATAGGAGTGGGCTTCTCGTGGAATGCATGCTTGTGGAGAATGTGGTTAACTTTTGTTTTTGTTATCTATGAAGAATGATGAGAAAAACATTTAATTGTGGTTTATGTTATTTTGAATTATGAACAAAATAATGTATTTAAACATTATATATGTATTATGGAACATTATGTAGTGGGATAATTTTGTTGATGTGTAATTATGAATGGAAGAATATTTTATTATGGAGAAATTGGTATTTTTATACAGGAATTTTTATATTATTATGCAATTATTATGGAGAAATTTTAATATTTTTAATAATTTTATCTCAGGATGTTTTTTTCTTTTTTATGACAGCACTACACCGTCACAAAAAAAAAAAAAAAAATTAATATTTTTATTGATTTTGTTACAGGTTTTACTTTTTGCGACGATACTAAACTGTCGCAAAAAATAGAAATTTTATTATTTAAAATAGAAATTTTATTATTTTCTTAATACTTTTTGCAACGGCAGTACACTGTTGCAAAAATAGAAATTTTCATATTTTTAATACTTTTTGTGACGGCACCACATCGTCGCAAAAACAGTGTTCTTGTCGTTGCAAAAAAAAAGACTATTAGCGACGGCATTTTTTGCCGTCTCAAATAACATTTTTAGCGACGGTAAAATAGTGTCGTCGCAAAAAGTCAAGAAATTTCAAACATTATTAGCAATTGTAAAATGCCGTCGCAAAAGGCAGAAATGCCGTCGCAAAACATGCCGTCGCAAAAACTCTTTTGCAATGCCCTCAGTTGCGACCCCTCTCTTGCCGTCGCAAAAAATCATTTGCCGTCGCAAAAAGTTTTTGCGACGGCATTAGAAGTATTAGCGACGGCATTTTGCCGTCGCAAAAAGCTAAAATTTTAGTAGTGATTAAGGTCAAAATTTTAATTTTATCATTTTTAACATCATTTTCATTTTTGTTTAAATATAGTTATTTTTCATTATCAGTTACTATTTTAGATGAAAAAATAATACATTTAACTCACATTTCATTTTACCGATTCTCCCTCAAGAAAGAAAATCGAAGATAGTGTCTATAATTTCACTCAATTTCCACATGGGGCCAATTCACAACAGGAAGTTTAATGGGTGCAAAGGTGTTCTTCTAACGAACGACAATTTGGCAACACTTTTATTTATTTATTTTTTTTAAATGTAGTTATTTGACACCACTTTCAAATTTTTCGGGCACAAAGTTTGACCATTGTCAAAATTTGATAGGCCATTGACGACCTACAATTTTGATCTTTTTACGTCACATTAACTTTGACAATTCTTTTAAGGAAAAATTACATCTCAATATATGTATATATTTTTTAAAATCACATCAATAGCAAAGTTTATTAATATTAATAATTAAATTTATAAATTGTTTTACTAATAATCCGCAAATATTTTGTAAAAAATTTACTGATATGTAATTCTCTCTTCTTTTTACTGTTGTACTAGATGCCTCCAAAAGTATAGTGAATATCCATTTGTGACAATGTTGGAATTAATATTGAATAACTTTCATAGCCACCAACTTGACTTGGTTTTAGGAAAAATTATTGAAAAAGATTATGATACACATCTCTTAAAGGGTGTTTACTATATGTACCTTATAATTAAAAAAAAATTATATAATTTCATACTTTTTGGATCATAACTAAAATAATAATAAAAACAAAAAGTCATAACCAAACACTGCATGAGACATAACAAAATATATCAAAAAAATATCATAAATAAAAAAGAAAATGACATAACTAAAGGTGTATATGGTAAGGGATGTGCATTATAGAATTCTCGAAAATTATTTAACGCTCCTAAAGTAAATACATTTAGATGGTATTTAGTTCATTTGAAGGAAGTGGAATAGAATGATCATACCATAAAAATAATGATGACATGTATTACAAATAGAGCGATCATTTACTATTTTGAGAGAATGATTATTATATCTCATTCCAACTCATTCCAATATATCTAATAGAATATTAATGTTTTAATTTGATTTTATTAATTAAAATAATAAAATTCATTGTGTTCAAATTAATTTTTATTAGATATTTTATCTAGTGATAACATGGAACGATGGAACGACTCATTCCGTCAATTACCAAAATGAATTTTTATTAGGCAAATTGACTTTCATGAACTAATGTGAAAGCCATTTCATTTTATTTCTTTCAACAACCATATTAAATATTTTTTTGTTGCCCTCACTTACTATCTAACAAACATTTTGGCTGGCAAAGTGGGAACGAGATTTGAGAAGGATAATTACAACAGGAGCTTGGGTTTGCCTGGTATAAAAACATGAACATTATCTATGTCACTTGGTCATAGTCAATTACTTGGGTTTACAACAATTACTTAGATTTACTAGGTAGGTACTAGGGATTTGGAAAGTCTGGGTAATGTCAAAATTGTGACTGTTGAAAGAAGGATAATTACAAAGGGTTTACTTTTTACTTTTTTTTTTTTTTTGATAAGCAAAAAGAACTTTATTGATGAGAAAGCATACATTACATATGGGAAAACATCAATAAAGAGAGGAGGTGCAAAAAGCATCAAAGTACACCCCCCAATCCCAACTAGGTTGGCACCAAGGGGGATACCCAATCATTTGCTAGCACCACCGAAAGTTGGTGAGAAACCAACAGGAAAAGGAGAAAAAACACCCAAAGCACCCAGGCCAAGAGTTGATACACCAACAACATCCAACAGCTGCAGAGTCATGGTAGAAGCATCAGAAGCAGAAAACCAGCTGAAGCAGAAGCAGAAAACTAGCAGCAGAGGATACCATATGTTTCTGAGGATACAACAACATCCATCTGAAGCAGAATTATGCTAGAAGCAGAATCAGCAGAACTATACGACCAGCTGCAAGCAAAACTGTCCCAGCAGCTAAAGCAACATGAAACAATCCACACACCAGCAGCCACAGCAAAATGATAAATCAGACCATTCCTCCTGCAGAGCATATCAGACCAGCATCACTATCAATCTGCATGGACCAGCTTACCATCCATAATCTCACTATAATCTGCAAAATCTGTGCAATATCACAGCATCTGCAACTGTTGCCTAGAAGAGCATGGAGTTGGATGCACAAACCAGTAGTGCAAAACAGATCAGAATCTGTTTTAGGCAGCACAGCAAATCTGCAAAGGTAGCAAACAAGCCAGTAGCTCATCCAGCCCACAAATCTGCAGGTATCACCATAATGCTGCAGACAAGACTTGAAAAGTGGGACACATCAGAACATTATTCTCCCTGCAGCCAACACCTTGCCTTGATCACCAGTAGCAGGCCTGAAACCAGCCTCACAGCAGGCCCATGGAGGGGCCTCAGACCATTCCAGCTGCAGCAGCCATCAGATCAGCTTCCAGCTTCCACCTTCCACCTACACACTACTAACAGCCCAGCCTTAATCCTATGTCAGACACCCTCTCACCTGCTTCAAGTTTGTGACAATATCATGTACTGTGTAGTGCACCCCCTTAACATTTGACTTAACCCATAATGCAATTCTTACTTTCAAACTTTCTACCATCTGTGCAAAATCTGCATTACCATTGTTAAATAAGCATTCATTCCTAAGTTTCCATAAGGACCACAACATAGCCAAAGGGACCACCTTCCAAATATTGAACTCCTTCTTCTTCAAATTCATACCAGACCACCAGTCAAGCAAAACAATCACTGATCCTGGTGTTACCCACTGCACTTCCCACCAGCTTATCAGCTCAGACCATAACTTCCACACCAATGGACATAAAAGCAACACATGACTAATAGTTTCGACTTCTGCTTTGCAAAATACACATAAGGAGCTGACATTGATGGGTAGAGCTCCAATCCTGTGCATAAATTCTGCGGTTTTGATTCTCCCTTTCCAAGCTAACCAGCTGAAGAACTGAGCCTTTGGAGGTGCTGCATTTTTCCATATGAAGTTTGAAATAGGAATCCTGGATCCATTAGCTACCTCCAACCTTTCCCACACTGAGGCCACAGAGAATACCCCTGAATTATTAGCTTTCCACAGACAGTTATCCTCAGTCACTGGATTTAGATTAGGAACCTCTGCTAAAACTGCATTTAGTCTTTGTACTTCCTCCTCCTCCCATGCTAGGAGCGATCTTCTAAATGCCAACTTCCAATCTCTGTCCAACCCTCTCCGTTGGTAGAAAAACTGCAAGGAACCATCCTTCTCCACGGATAAACTAAATAGTCTAGGGAACTCACACCTAAGACTCATATCATTGAACCATCTATCCGTCCAAAAATGAATTCTTTCCCCATTTCCCATAATAATCCTAAAGTTTTGTGAGAAAAACTCCGCCACTACACTATTGGATGAAGCTAATGATGCAATATCCTTCCACACAATAGATACCATTGCAGCTGGCATTGGTTCTGGTGTCCACCTACCTCCAATCCCGCCATATCTACTACATACTACCCTTTTCCAAAGAGACTGATGTTGACACCCATACCTCCACCACCATTTTAACAGTAAACACACATTAACATCACTGAGACTTCTCAAACCCAACCCCCCTTGGGCTTTACTTTTACACACCTCTTTCCATTGAACTAAGTGAATTTTCCTTTTAATTTCAGAGCCTCCCCACAAAAAGTTTGATTGAATCCTATCAATTGTTTTAGCAACACCAACGGGCATTTTAAAGATGGATAGAAAGTACTGTGGAAGACTTGACAAAACAGACTTAACTAGGGTCAATCTGCCGGCAAAGGACAAAAATCTCCTTTTCCAAGATGCTAACTTCTTTTTAAACTTCTCCACCACCGGTTGCCAAGTACTTCTTCTCCTTGGATTGGCCCCTAAAGGTAAACCAAGATATGACAGAGGTAGACTCTGGTTGAGGCAATTTAGTGTTTTAGCAAACTCCTTAACTAGCTCCTCTTCTACTCCAATACCACAAACTATACTTTTATGAAAATTAATCTTGAGGCCTGACATGACTTCAAAACACCTCAAGATTCTTTTAAGCATTATAATTTCCTCCCATTTGGCTTCACAAAAAATAATAGTGTCATCTGCAAAT